TTACTAATATGTTTCCACATGCTCGTACATAGCATTTGTGTTCAGCTTACCAATCCTCTTGGATCCCGTCCAGTATATAAACCTCTGTACAACTCCTGTAAAGTTTCCTTAGTTCGAATATCACCTTAGACTTTGCTCTGTCTCAACATAGACTTGCTCTCTCGCACATTAGATTTCACTCATTCTTGTCTCGGACTTTGGTCCATCTGAGTTCTGCCTTTCCATTAAGGCCTAGGGATGGATTCCCTAGGCCGGAAATCCAGACCTTCGGATTTGTCCCCTATGTCTCTGTTCTGAAGTCTAGGGATTGATTCCCTAGACCGAAGTTTTGTCTTTCCGGCACTTCCTGTCTTTCCGAGACTTCTGTCTAAACCCTGTCTATCCGACTCTACCATAGTGTAGTCTACCTCTGTTTGTTTCTACTGCGGACCTTGTCCATAGTAGCCTTTCCCCTCCTGTCCTAATCCCGTCCGCTCCTCCGGTCCTTGTAAACCTTCGGACCTTTGGACGTTGTAACCTTTGGACGTCGTAACCTTTGGACATTGTAACCTTCAGACGACGCAACCTTTGGACGACGCAACCTTCGGACAACACACCCTTCGGACGTCTTAACCTTCGGACCTCTGGACGTCCTGTCCTTCAGACCACTCCTCCTATCCTATCCTGCTTTGGACTCTGTCCCTAGCAGCCTATCCTCTATGTGTTTCTATCTAGGGAACTTACCTTGGGAAGTCTTACCTTCGGATCTGATACAGCGGATGAAACTCCTCTGGAGTTTCCTATACTCCTCCGGAAGTTTCTCGCACTCATCCGGAAGTCCTCTAGCACTCTACTAGAGTAGCCAGCCTCCGGAAGTCCTTCGGACTTCGTCGGATTCCATCTGGACTTCATTCTGAAATTAAGGGCACGTACTCGGGTAAAGGGCACAGCACACGAGCTGAGGCCAAGCCCTTGGGATCCCATCTACCCTTGAGCTACGGTCTTAACAATTAGGTACCACACACTGCTCAACAAGCAATGTCAAGTGAAAGTACTCCAACATTGAGTGGCGCAGTTCCGACCTTTGAAAGATTGATCAAGGGATGGAATCACATAGCGAACCACTTCCCGCACTTTGCGCCTCTGATTAGCATAGGCTTGCTGTGGGCGGATAAATATGATGATTGGATGGGCGCCACCAATGCTTACGCAGTCTCTATGTGTAAGTTCTGCATATTTTAACCAAAGTCCAATTCTCATTGTTACTTTTAGTCATCGATCCTACTTCACGGATGTCATGGATGGAACACCATTGGGGTCAACAGCGAACTAATGACGCCAAGAAATTTATCATGAAACTTGTACATACGTCTTTTGCCAATAACAGCGCAACATTGAATGTATCATCTAGATGCATGCCAAGAGAGGGACCCTGGCCTCTGGTTCTGCACCCGCTGTAGGGGCAGTACAAAAGCCAACCATGCTCGGTTCACGCCTCTATGGCCTTCCTGACATAGACATGCCATCGGATTGCAGCAGGGGTGCCCAAACAGTCCAACAGGAGTTCAATGCATACAGTACAGCTACTCGCAGCCCCAAAGGCACAAATATTCTCTCAGTTTTGGACGGTAAGAGCCTTGTATTTTCTCGAGCTACATCGTTTGTCACTGACCATGGAATGTTGGCCAGGCCTCTCAGGGCATGTTTCCGACAGTCTTTGCAATTGCCTTGGACTATCTCCTGATACAAGCATCCGCTGTCCCCTGTGAGTGCGTGTTCTCATCAGGTAGCAAGACTGACACGCAAAAATGGGACCGCCTTAGCCCCATGCTGATGGAAGCGCTCCAGATCATCAAGTTCATACTGAAAAAAGATAGGCTCAACTTTACCAAAGGGTGGTCAGCATCACAGCGAGACACGGAATACAAGGTGCTACGTGATGTAGAGCCTGGCGAGGTTTTCACACCTAACATTAGCAAAACTTCATCCAGCAGTTCCACACATGAAGCGCTCCTCAAAGCTATCGCAGACCACGAGTGTGATGATGTTGATGATGCCGCCATCATCTATGCATTGCTATAACTACTTCTTGCTCATCATTTGTATTGTTTACCTACTGGCGCCTTACATCCTTCGCTCGTCTCCCTCCCTTTCCACAGCTTAATCAGCACATATTTCACCTTAGTCTTTGGTCTCAGTCTTCCTCCTTTGCATCATTAGTCACTCGTCTCTACTAGCCTTGCTGCCCTGCTTTTGTGTTTACAACCTTGTCATCTTTACAGTCAGCGTGTCATACATGCCCGAGTTTTTCAGATAAAGACCAGCGTGTTCGAAGAACCCCATCACCACCCACTCGCAAACATGATTGGAGCAGCTCCTCTCGCACCTGCATTTCATATTTATCCATTTCAAACCCAACATCTCATGATTTCGATATTTCCTGACCTTTGTGAATTTACACTATCATAAGCTGGCTTGAGCTGGCTTACAGCGCTTATTTTAGTTACATTAGCTGGGCTGGACTGTGCAATATGTAAGCAGATCTGGCTTTGCAGTTCTGGTCAAGCCGGTGAATTAGAACCAGCTACTGCTGGCATTAGCCAGAACCACGGCAACGCTACATAGTATTCTAGATCTGTTGGAAGATCCTGATGAAAGCCAGGAAGTAGTTGACTTAATGACATGGTGGACCCGGTTAGTGATTAATTTCATTCTCTGAGCCTCAAGTTGATGTCTTTCACAGTCGTATATTCCCCAATTCTTCCTCTTCACAGTGGTGTACAAGCAAAAACAGCATGCTATCTAAAATTCGGGAGAAACGCGCTGTCCTTCGAGAACGAGCTGCTACAGGCACTACTCAATTCATTGTTGTCATTACCATACTGTCTGTACTAAGACCTGAGATCCTCATGCCACTTATGAATAATCCATCTGTCATTGCAGAGAATCCCACTGTTAAGTATGTGCTATGTTTGACCAAAATATCACCAACCTGCTGCAGCGAGATAACTCAGTGTCAGAGCCTGCCTGACTGTTAGTGATGATAGTTCCTGCCACCAGAAGCTCCCAATGCAATAGTAGCTGGATCTTGCCACTGGTGCCCGCAAATGTAAAGCCAGACATATTGGGTCGATAATCAGCACTTTGCTATAGCATAATAATCTCGTGTCCTACCCTATAACAGTAGCTTTCTCTGGTAAAATATCACCAGCTTGCTATGGCATGACAGGCAGATATCATATCATGGCACACAGTCAATGGTTACACATTCTACTATAGGAAGCTTCCTATGTAAGGCTAGACATATGTATCGGGTAGATAATCAGCACCTTGCTACCATATAATAATCTAGTATCATGTACTGGCACACTGTCAGCAATTATAGATCCTGCCACTGGAAGCTGCCTATATAACAATAGCTGGCTTTGATTAACTTGCTATGGCATGACAACTGGATATCATACCCTGGCATATTGTTAGTGATTACAGATCTTGCCACGGGAAGCTGCCTATGTAAGGCCAGACATATCGGGTAGATAATCAGCACCTTGCTACCATATGATAATCTAGTATCATATACTGGCACACTGTCAGCAATTATAGGTCCCACCAAAGCTGCCTATATAACAATAGCTGGCTTTCACCAACTTGCTATGGCATGACAACTGGATATCATACCCTGGCATATTGTTAGTGATTACAGATCTTGCCACGGGAAGCTGCCTATGTAAGGCCAGACATATCGGGTAGATAATCAGCACCTTGCTACCATATAATAATCTAGTATCATGTGCTGGCACACTGTCAGCAATTATAGATCCCGCCACTGGAAGCTGCCTATGTAAGAGTAGATTAATTTGACAATAACACCTCAATGTGCTTAGTGGATTGTAACTTGGCACTATAGGTCTGCCTATATTATAGCATTGGGAGATCCCACCAATGTAGTCTACCTATCCATGTCTTTATCATGTGATCTGCAATTGTGATATTTATTTTTGATATTATACATTAAATAAAGCTAGCTAAATCTTTGTCATACTCTGGTCAAATGCCTGATGCATCCGGTACATATTTGGGCTGTAGCATCCATATTTAGCACTCTTCTTTCTATATTGAATGGGTTGTGCCTATATATATTCCTCCTGGTGGTACCCTGCTTACATACTCCTTGCTTCCCGCTTCCTCCTGATAGTACCTTGCTTACATACTCTAATTCATCAGCATACGGCTACTCAGTACTCACTTTAGTAGGTCTCTTACTGTTCCAGCTGTCCTTTAAGATTAGTAATACAGCAATGGGCAAAGGTCCCATCAATGATGCAATCATTGAGCTTTGAATCCACTAAGTCCCATGCTGTGCCATTTGGAATTCCGCCACAATTTTTCGTCCATTGGTCAAAATAAATCAAAACAATGACGCAACCTTTTAGCTTTGAATTCACTAAGTCTCTTGCTGTCCCAGCTGTCCTTTAAGATTAGTAATACGGCAATGGGCAAAAGTCCATCAATGGCACAATCATTGAGCTTTGAATTCACTAAGTCCCATGCTGTGCCATTCCGCCACGATTTTTCATTGTGTACATTGGTCAAACAAATCAAAACAATGACACAACCTTTTGGCTTTGAATTCACTTAAGTCCCTCGCTGTGCCATTCTGCTTTGATTTTTCGTCTTGTACACATCACATTTTACATATTCAAGACAATTTTCTGGTTATGTATGGAGTCAAATTGTTTTTGGAAGTCAAAACAATGAATTCTATTGCAGGTGCGACAAAATATGAATATACACTATGACACAAGTCAACCATGCAGTGTGCAATTACCCAAATTGACCAAACTCTGAGGCACAAGCCTACTATTCAAGACTGCCTGGCCCTTCTGTAGAGTTTATCAGCATGATTGCTCCACTTTTGCGACATAATAGAAAGGACATACTTCCATGAATCTGTGGGGCATGCACGACATGTTGAGACTCCGATGTCATTATCACGCTCTCATGGATTGAAGGGCACATTGTTATGCACATGGAGATGAGGTGTGTTTGTCACCATGCGCACTGCCAGAGGGTTTGATGTAGATGGGTCCATAGATAGTGTAGGTGCCGGAGATCTGTCAATGTGCCGTCTATGCACCCCATGGCGAGGACGAACCTCTGGCTGGTTGAGAAGTGAATCATTGTCCTGTCCTTCCTCGCTATTCATGGACAGGACAGGAGGGAGCAGCACCTCCTCTGATAGAGGCAAGTATGGGCGATCACAGTTGTCTAGAGATGTGAGATTGGCGGGAGACTGTCCAGGTAAAGATTTGTTGGTAGTACTATTAAGAGGAGGTGTGAACCAGTCAGGTATCATACCGGGATCAAAGTTGGGATTGTTGATCATAGTAGCGAAGGCATGGGGATCAAAGGCAGAGAAATTGGCGGCGCCCGCTACAATGGGGTCGAAAGTAGCCGCAGAGTGAGGAGGATGATGAAATTCCACAGCGAGCAATGAGCTTCCAGCAAGCCCCGTTGATGCATCAGTCGATACCTTACTAGCACTTGTGGGAAGCGCTTTGGGCAATAAGGTATCCAACAGAGTATGTGAGCCGCTCTATGTGCACAATGAGACACATTTCACTACATATTAATAAGCTATTACTCACCGCGTTATCCCCAAGAACTTCATCAGATTGGGGAGTCATTTGATACAGGTTGCTTGTATCAAAGGTTGGGAGGTGCTCATCTTGACTCATACCCTCATTTTCCCGCCCATCTTCGTCACTGTCCCAGTCTGATGAGGACTTTTCTTCTTCATCCCCTGCCGACTCATCATGCGGTAAGGTAGACTCGAATGCTGATTGGCAAGAGGGATAAGTCTGGTGTCTCTCAACTTAGAAATTTAAACATACCGAGGGCATTTTGCACAAATCCTAGGAAGGCGGCTTGCATTCCATCAAAGTCTTTGTATACATGATTGAACTGGGCGCCACTTTGAAGTTCACCAACATGGTAGCTTGAAATAATGATAAGCACAGCTTTCATCATGTTTACAAATGTTGCTCACTTGAATACTGACGTCTCACCCGTCCTAGGATCACGACCCCCCATGAGAACAGAGAATTTCCACCCACCCTGTGATATGCGCGAGATACTTGAGGATGCGGTCAAGCATTGGACCGAGCTCCCAAATAGCCCCACCGCGGAGGATTCAAGTCAGTAATATGACATTCAATTGATTAGCAGTACGTACTTCAATTTTGTGGCATTGTCGATTTTTAATGGCTTCCCAGACCTCAGCTGCTGGCGCTTTTTTGCTGAAACTTGATTTCGCCTTGCGGTACTTCCTATCAATATCCGCTTTGACAGACTCGCTTTCCTCCAAGTACATCTGCCGTGTGATCTCATGGTGTTTGTTCAGCTTCAGGCCTCTATTGGTAATGTTTTCTGTTGTGATTGCATTGTCTGCAGCATGCTTAACCTTCACTTTGTAGAATTTGTGTGAGTAAATATTGATTTTTTGGGGTGCCCATACACCTTTCAGCTCCACGCCCCCATCTAAGACGGTATCAAATTTCAGCACGCCCCTGGTGCCTTTTGAGCGAGCATGACGCGTGGGGTTTACCTGCCACCTATGTATACCAAGTGATTAGTTGCTGTAAAATCAATCAGTAATGTGTTTTTTCTGGTTTTCGCACATTGTCTTACTTGCTGACGCATTTCAACTGCTCCCACCAGAGCCTTAATGTCTTCTGGGGTGCGAACATAATCATCTGGCTTGTCCTTGAAGATGACATGTTCCTCAGGCCACCTTTCGAACCATAGAGCATCAATGCGCGTGAACAAATCGTCATAATCCTTGGTCGTGAGACTCTTGCGGAATTCAGACATGAAGCTGAGGAGAAATTCCTCTTGCTCTGGAGTCGTCCATTTCTTGCTCAGCATCTGGAACAAGCTGTAGTAAGGTCCTTTTTTAAAAAATGAAGGAAACACTTTAGGCACACTTTCACAGGTACAGCAGTCAGTCTTGGGTAGGCATACAACTACGAGAGACAAGACTTGAGCACGGTGATATGATCCTCAACTTCTTCCATCTGGTCCTTATTGATAATATATATGTCCAAACTTTCACCAATTTAACTCATTTATGCGCGTGCAAGGCAAGTTCTCGATATCTACACTAGATCTACACATATGATGACATATCCTGGTCTTATGCACACAGAATGACTACCTCGTCTATCCCCTGGTATAGCGAATCAATTTATGTGATATATGAGACCCAGCCAAAATTTCTCACCTTCTCAACTTTTTCACAGGAAAATACTCCTTCAGCGTCACATGTGCCTCTTGATGCAACGTGTTCATAAGTATACAACTCTGGAGGTGCTTCTCCTGCAATCAATACATGTCCCCCTTTTCATGAATTCAGTCACAATGTACTCGACGACGGCGCCTAATGGCTTCAATGAGCAATGCCTCCTGCAGGCCAGACAACATTTGATCATGAGGTATCTCCCCAAAGTGCATGGCATGTTCAGGCCAGGCTGCGAACCACTGGGAGTAGTCACTCTCCCAAAAATCTTCCTGCTCTTCCACTGACCCCAAACGAGCAATTTTAAAAGCAGGCAAAAATGTTTTAAGCATGGCACATTGGTCATGCGTGAGGACTACAATTTGCAACATGGACATCGCAGGAGGACGGCAGCAAGTTGTCTGCAATGTCGACATGATGAGAAGAAAACAGTGAGCTGCGTGAGAGCACCATGAATCACAGAACCAAGCCTGCACATGTCTTTGCAAATAGATCTGTGCGTAGCCACAATTACACTTCAAACTGTCATCAGTAATTGTATTCTGGAGGTCTCACTGTAGAGACTCGCGTTTCTGCAGGCACATATAGGCACATTTCACACCTTTTCACAACTCATGACAATTGGCCTTCAATGCACGACTCGCACCATCAGCTATATTCGACTTCTATCATGTCCCTAGTCATTTTACACATAACGCGCAGCATTCCCGCGAAACGCGCCATAGGCGCGGTACTTTCCCACACAATGCGCAGCATTCCCACACGCGCACCTTGCGCGCTTTCTCGTGCTTAAGCGCCCTGCATTGCCCTGCATTGCCTATCATCCAGGAATGTCCCTCTATGTCCACCCACCTCATTGGTACATCATATCGCTTGCCTCGTGGTTTGTAACAAGCATTGCAGCGTTATTACATGTCATTACGTATTCATAGTGCTTATTGCTCCTATCCCTTCCGCTTCCAATGCGATTTCCATAGTATAAAGTTGCTGACTTACTACACCATCATTATTACTCCCCTTTGCTGTACTTCCCTCGCTATTGGGTTTTACCTTAGAGTAGTAGTCACCACTAGGGCGCACTTTGTGTTTCCAATGGTTATCGTTATCCGCCTATATTAGACCTTTATCCGCACTCATTATAACACTCGCTCCGCATTTGCACTCGCTTTGCACATCCGCTTCCTTATCCATTTCCTTATCCGGTATTCTCCGCACAACGCGCACCTTAGCGCTCACGTTCCCACGCTCGCGCTTACCTTAGTGCGCTCTCTCGTGCTTCGCGCTCACTTCGCTTTTCTTCTTGTGCTTTCGCGCATCCATCGCACTACAAGGGTCTTTCTTTCATCTGGTTCTGTGTTCAGTAGCAGTCCCCTTTAGGGTCAAACATTCTTGCATTCTGCGAGTATAGCAGCTAGGCAGAGCCAAGACTCACTTATACTGGTTGAGCATTTTTAGATATTTCATATCAGCCCAGCCAGGTTGAGATCGCCTCATCGCAAACAAATATAGAAGCTCTTACTCTACAGGGCAGGTGCTAACTAGATGGGGAATTTGTACTCTTGGTACCTGTCATATACCATATATCCGGTTACAGATCCGATGATCTGGATCTCAGATCCGATCCAGATCCGATGAACATATCCATCGTCCGGTCCACAGATCCGCTTTGATTCTTATTTCATTTCCTGTTCATATAACTCTAACTATCGTTCATCTCCTTTCGGTATTCCTGTACACCAGTATACCGGTTATCCTTTACTTCCGCTTTGCTTACTGATCCGCTATGCTTACTGATCCGCTATGCTTACTGATCCGCTACACTTACGAATCCGCTTTTACTTGTACTTCATTCCCGGTTCATGATTCGTGATCCATCCAACTTACCAATACGCTCCACTTAGACTTTGCTTATACTTTCGTACATAGCCTCGCACCTTTGCTTATTGATCATTCCGTTAGCTATCCGTAGTATATAAACCTTTGTATATGCGCTGTAGTAGATCAGTTCGAATATCATCTTAGATTGCACTCATTCCGTCTGGACTCTGAGTCCCTCCGTTATCCATCCGGACTTGAGTACGCTACTCTTGTCTACTCCGAGACTTAGGATAGATTCCTATAGTCTACATATCCGCCTCTGTCTTCGGACAGTCCTCACCCGTTAGTTTCTAGTCCGGATCCGATCCGGATTGGCCGTTACTCTATACGTTCGATATCCGGAAGTCTTAACGGATCCATTGCAATACTTATCCGTTTCACTAGACGCGATACTTTAGCTCTCTGAAATAAGGGGCAAGACTCGGGAAAGGGGCACAGCGCACGAGCTGAGGCCGAAGCCCTTCGGATCCGATACTACTTGAGTACGGTCTTAACAGTATATTCGAACTCATACCTTTCCGAGTTACTTAACATCTATCATGCCTCCTACCAAGACACAAACAACTCTGCACGCGGTCGGACTAACCTCCCTCCGTCGTGATCCGACACCTATAGTCAACACCTTCACCAGTTTCTCTCAGCGCCGTGTTAGCACCCACGGAACCGCTCAAACCATATCCGAACTCCTTAATCGTCGACACCCGGAAACCCCAACACGCACTCCTGCCGTAGGACCTCCGGACGATGATGATCCCGACGATGGTGATGATGATTTCCCTGGTAATCCACCCGACGATAACGGTGGTGATCCGGATGATGATCCGGATGTTGAGGATGATGAAAATGACGGCCTAAACCCACAAGACCGCGTTATGCTTCGACTCTCAGAAGCCATCGATAACCTTGCTCGCAATAATCGTCGCGCGCCCGCATCCGAAGATTCTAGAGTCAAGGTCCGAGAACCGGATACCTTCGACGGAACCGAACCACGGAAGCTCCGTGCGTTCTTTGTCCAGTGTGAGCTTAACTTCCAGAGCAAGCCTAAGGCTTTCTGTACCGGAAGGGCTAAAGTCAACTTTGCCCAATCCTACCTTAAGGGTATGGCCCTTGAATGGTTTGAACCGGATCTCCTGTCCGATGATTCGGACGATCATCCGGATTGGATGGATGACTATTCCGTGTTCATGCTTGAACTCCAAGCCAACTTCGGGCCTCATGACCCATCCGGTGATGCAGAAATGCAGCTCGAACAGCTCCACATGCGCGATGGACAGCGCATCAACAAGTACGTTGTGGAATTCCAGCGTCTTGCTTCACAGGTTCGTGGCTGGGGCGACGGAGCCTTACGACGCCAATTCTACAACGGACTCCCGGCCCGTATCAAGGATGAAATCAGTCGCATGGGTAAACCCTCTACTCTTTCCGAATACAAAGTCCTCGCTCAGACTATCGACGCCCGATACTGGGAACGGAAGGGAGAGATCTCTCGAGAAGCTAAACCCACTTCATCCACTACCCCTAAGCAATCCGCTTCTGACCGGACGAACTCCAATACGTCCAGATCCGGAAATCACAAATCCGGAAACTCCAATGATCAGAAGTCTACAAAGCCATCCGCGTCCTCGAACTCGTCCGCTCCTAAGGTTCCGGATCTTACTTCCAAGCTGGGTAAGGACGGAAAGTTAACGTCCGAAGAGCGGCAGAGAAGGATGGACAAGAAACTCTGCTTATTCTGTGGTGGACCCGGCCATACAGCTCGGGAATGCACCAAGTCTACTTCGCGTGCTGCCAAAGGCCGCGCTGCAGTAGTCGCTCCGGAAGTCAAACCGGATGTCTCTACTGAGACAAAAAAATAGTCCGCAACTCTCCTAGCTCCGTGCAGGAAGAGGGTCGCGTTGACTCTGCCTGCACAAAGGAGTTAAGACTCAACGCTGTCGCGCTCTCGGATCCGACTTCCCTCTGTCCATATGTTTCACTTCCGTTACTTCCATCCGTATCCGAATTTCCAGCTCTTGTAGATTGTGGTTCTTCTCATTGTTTCATAGATACTGCGTTCATCCGAAAACATAAAATCCCTACATATCCGATACCTACGATTCCGCTCCGCTTGTTTGATGGTACTTGTAATAATACTATTTCCGAAGCTATAGATTTGTCCGTCCGCTTTCCGTCCGGTGTAGTCACCTCTGATACGTTCTACGTTACCCCTTTGGATTCATCTTGTTTTATCGTTCTTGGATATAGCTGGCTCACCCGACACAATCCATTGATTGACTGGGTTTTGGGCAGCATTGACTTCCGGACGACATCTCATGGAATGCCATTGACCCCTCCGACGTCACTTCCGTCCTCGGATATCCCTCCTCCGACGGAAACCATACCTCCTCCGACTACGTCCGTACCCTCCGCTGATAACACTGTTCCTAATATATCCCTAATCAATGCAGTTGCCTTTTGCCGGGCCTGCAAGTTAGAAGGATCGGTCCAGTTCAGTATATACCTTCGACCATCCGGTGTCGATCTCCGATCCGCTTCTCTATCGTCCGATCCTCCGGATCTATCCCAAATTCCTTCGGACTATCACGAGTTTGCGGATGTCTTCGACAAGGGAAAGGCTGGTCAGCTTCCTCCACATCGTCCTTATGATCTGAACATAGATCTGGAAGAAGGAACTAGTCCTCCCCTCGGAACTATCTATTTGCTATCCCCGGTCGAGCTTGCAGCCCTCCGGAAGTTTCTTGATGAAAATATT